TAGAAAATGCAGTTTGCAATACTAAGGTAAGTGATAATTTTTAAGTGGTAACTACTACTGTCACTTGCAGTTTTGTCAAAGCTGCTAAATCCATCTGTCTTGCATGAGCCTGTGCTTTTAAGCGCTTGAACAGGGGCCGTTTGGTAATTAGACTTCATCCCGTTTTACCCTCTTCCCTTACATTTAAAGTATTTTTAGCTTTATTTTTATAATTCCACATTCTTAACATTAGATTAAATAAAATGTTACCTGCTGCTTTTAAATATGTAAAAGCACTTAAACTAAATTAAACAGCTACCTAGAGCAGCTGATAACAATTCAGTTACAGTGCTTTGTTGATACTAGGGTCTCTCACCTATTGTACAATTATAATTAGTTCATGTGGTAGTTTGTACCTTCTATTTACATATATCTGCATTAGTTAAAAGCACTTAAGAGTTATCAGACTCCAAATATCTGGGCACAATGACTCATTCCAGATAGACTCTCTGGTTAGCAAGTGAAGATAAGCGACACTCATGCCCCACTTCTCAGTTGCTGCTCTTGTCGATGGGATCCTCACATGAAGAGACTCTTATTCAGTACCCTTTAAAATCTCCATTAGTATCAAGGTTTAATTTCTCTACCTTCAGTGAAACAACAGAACAGCAATGAGCTCTTAATTCTTGCTGAGAACACTTTCGGTGTTTTTCCATTCGCTGAGCAGTATACTTCTCTTGCCCCGACAGCAAGCTGTGCCCATGAACTGCACGCTTGGAAGTGACCAGCGGGAACCTGCTGCAGTTCAGCCTTCTGTCCTACCTACTTCACAACTAAAACCTTAGGTAAAAATCAATAAAGGACACAAACTATGTTGACAGTAGAAGGAGGAAGGAACTATAACCATTGGTTGAAACAATTAAGATGTTTTAACAAATTCCACTCCATGGTAAAAGCATTACAGAAACTAAATAGAACAACCCTTCAGAAACAGGGCTTCAGATCGCTCACACAAAACTGAAAACTGAACTCCAGGGTGCCTCCCTTCCCTCCAACAGGTTTTCCAGAGGCAGGGAGGCCCTCAGTCTAAACTGAATCCTAAACTGTACAGACAGCTTCATGGAACAGTGGCACTGCTATAAAGCAGTCTTAGATGCACTCCAGCATTGCAGATGTGGCTGCAGACTGAGTGTTAAATAATACACTGGGAGACAATTCAGTTCAAATCCACAGGATACTCTGACAGGTATTTGGGTCAAGACGGCAGTAGCCATCCTTGAGCCCTCTGAATTTCAACACATTGCACTGGTAACCCAGTATGCAGCAGGCTTCTTCATGTCTTAAAATTTACTAGTGGATCATGTGTGTGGAGTATGGTCTGAGACTCTGACACTGTCTGCTAATAAAGACAGGTAGGTTAGAATTTCTTGTTTTCTCCATCACATAATGTTTCACTGCTGAGAAATGGTTCACCTGCATGTTTCATTTCATTCATCCGTGCCGGTACTACCAGATTCCTTAGCATTCCTATTCTGCAGCTGTCTCCTCTGCTTGGCAAACAGCTCTCAGTTACAGTATGTCATAAATGAAGTTTCACCTCATGAAGTAGTCAGAGGATACATGCAATAGCGATATTGGACCAACCTGAATTAGACAGTCAAGGAGAGACCAAAACTTTGCCCCTTATCAATTCTCATTTGCAGTTTAGCCTGTATGAAAGTGTATTTCAACTTCCACGCTCTCCAAAAGCTCTCATCAATTAAAGGTATTCACCAAGTATCTAGTACTCATGACAGTTCAAGATGAAGACCAAGTACTGTACAATTAAGGGGTAATGGTTTTAAAATAGAGGGAGGTAGATTCAGATTGGATATTAGGAAAAAATTTTTTACCATGAGAGTTGTAGAACACTGGAACAGGTTGCCCAGAGAGGTGGTGGATGCTCCATCCCTGGAGACGTTCAAGGCCAGGTTGGACGAGGCCCTGAGCAACCTGATCTAGTTGGAGATATCCCTGTTCCTTGCAGGGGGGTTGGACTAGATGACCTTTGAGGGTCCCTTCCAGCCCTAACCATTCTATGATTCTATGATACTGTTTTAACACAGGAATTAAACCAATATAGTTCTGAAATTAATGCCAAACCTCTTTCTTCACAGAAACCTGGTAACAATCCCTGTTCTGAACTGTAAAAAGCTGAATGGTAGAAAGAAGAGCAAAATTTGCTTTTCGAGAACTCTGTAGAAAATCTTAAAATGAGTAAGAATGGGACTGGAACTAGAGCATTCTCTCTCCAGCATCCACAAACACAAAGTAATCTTGCTCTAGGCTACTTAAATCAGAAGCATTGTTCCCAATGCAGTTATAAGGTCAGACACCACGTTTCTGAACCTCATGTATGCTGAAGCCTTTTGGAAGAAGACTGATGGAGTGTTTTTGCTGGCTGCTGGCAGCTGAATGTACGCTTCAAAGTTGCGAACTGCTCTCCGATAAAGGAGAAGCACCAACTATATCTCCAACAGTTACGACCCTGGAGTTCTCGCCTACTAAGAAAGTAATTTAAATTCAGGATCCTTCTTAGGCATCACTTTATGGTACAAAGACGACATCATACCTTCAAACAAGAGGTCTGCAATTAAGTATTGCTCCATTCTACTCCCAGGCAAAGAGCCTTTTAACACTAAGTAGCAGTAATGTGAGCTTCTAACATATAAACTATCAAAACCATCATGTGAGGATGTGGGCAATTTGCACATCCATCATTAAGACTTTAAGGCTCACTTCTGTGTGCCAACAGCAGCCTCTTAATTGGGAGAAGCATGTAAACCTTAAGCAAATTTAATAAGGAATGCTAAATATGTGAACTCAGATCTGCAAGACAGAGAAACACTTTGAATAGCCATCCCGCTAACTGATCAAGTACTAGTTGTGTCTTTCCACTTCTGGAACAAAAGGTCAGGAACCCGCTCAGTAAAGGACATTTGGTTTTGAAGCACTGAAATCGTTACAATAGTGAAGACAGGCTTGTTTTCTGCCTCAACCAGCCTTCGGCTGAATATAGCAAGTCACCAGCCCAGTATAGTTTCTTTGGCATCCCCAAGCACACTCAGTGTTCTTCACAAGGAATGGTATAGATTACTTTGAGGTTTGGTCAGCTCAGAAGGACTAAAAGCAGTTGTTTCAGTAGCTAAGGCTAGCATACTGAAGCAGAGTACTTTACAGATTTAACCATTCCACTACATGACGTCCTAAAGAGCAAGACACCTGCTATGAAAAGAAGTGCTGGTCATTCGGATGCAAAGGGAAGGCAAAGCAACCTTCATTCAAAGACACAGAAGTCAGCCAGAGACTATTTGGTAAGAAGGAAGCCTAAGAATCAGTGTTGGGCTTCTTCAAGCAGCTTGTTCGCTTGACTCATGTTGTGCCACTAAACGGTCTCTACATCAGGAAGGGTAAGTTGTCAGCAATCACTAATCAAAATGAGGAACAGCCATGAGGCACAGCCTAGTGAATTCACCAAGACAGAGGTATATGTTCTGGCAGTCATCTTTTAAAAGCCATACTCTTCAACCAGGATTCCCTTGTTTTGGGGGAATTTGCTTTCAAATCAACAAACTGTGTATAGAACAGTCAGTAGAAAAGATCAAGACTTAAAAAAACCCCACACCCTTGCAGCTTCAGAAGCAAAGCATCACCTTTCATGTCTGAACATGGACATTTCTCCTTCTCTTTAGTTTCTACTTTTTAAGGTACCTGAAGTCAAGCACAAAATTGATCGATGCTATATAGAACTGAACTGCAGGAGATCCAAGAAGCAGGACTTGAGAATGCACTTTGTGACTGGTGACAGAGAAGTGCAGTTTGACAATAAAATTGTTTAAAACGACAGTAGCCAAGACCTATAATCAAGAGCAACTAATACCAAAAATATCCCTTTATATGTAACACGTTATTCTCATAGTACGCACAAGTAAAAAACTTACCCAGAAACATTCACAAGTGCTGTCTCCAGTATGCAGAGAATGATACAAAAAAAATCATCCTCAAAAAAGACGATGATTGTTCAGTATTATATTAGTATTTTCACTAATCGTGTATTAGCAGAATGCAGGTGTAAGCACTGGCAATTAAACTACACTGTTAGCCAAAAAAGGTACAAGCTCTGGCTGAAGTCAGTCTCACTGCGCAGCAGACTAGTCAGCCAAATTTAGGAGAAGAGATCCCTAGCTTAGCTCACTTTGCTCAACCTCAGCAGGTGCAGATGTAAGGGGAATATTTCCCAAGTGTGTATTCCATCTAATATATTTTTGCTGCCAGATTCTTGTTTAAGCATCATCCTTGTACCGATGACACGGCAGTGTCTACATCCTGTTTTAAAGTGCAGGCATTCACCTGGTAGCTCTTTCAAAGTTAAACAACTGGTCTAAATACATCCAACCTGTGCAGCAGCTGTTGCTGAACTAAAGCACTAACAGAATACATCACACCACAGTTCATACGTGCACTCTCAGAAAGCACATACTGATTCAAGCGTGCATCCTAAAGAAATGGCTCAAGTGCTGCAATGCAAAAGCGGCTTTACCTACAAAGTTGAATAAATTAAGTCCATCCTTTTCCCAAGGTACAAGTTCAATTACGTGCAACCTTGAAAAAGCAAGTTTTGCATCAGCTAGTGCTAATGAAGTCATTACTCCAATGAAGTTGAGTAAAAACCTCAAGTAAACCTTGAATAAATATCTTTTTCCACATCTTAATCTTCTTTCCAAAGACTCTAAAGCTCAGAAGATTTAAGTACCCTGTTAGCATTTATAGCACTCTCACAAACCTAGATGAAATAAAAACACGGACACTTAATTTTTGGGTGTAGAATTTAGATAACAATGAACCTAAGTTCCTTCTGATTAGCAACATCAGCATTGGTTTCTTCTGCCTTTATTCCATGACTTAAGAGAATTTCAGAACACCATCTGACAGCTCACTGCTTGGAAAATGAAAAGATGCAGAAAATCCTAAGATCAACATACCTGTTATTTTGTCCCTGACAAGCTTGCAGGATTCTATCTCACCAATGCTGCCGAACAGACTCTTCAGCTCCTCTTGTGTCATGTTCTGTGGAAGGTAGTTGACTATTAAATTGGTCTTGCTGTCTTCTGTGTTCCCAGAATCAACCGGTGATGAGCAATTGTTTATGGCGGTTGAACCATGGGCTGTATTATTGCAAGTTGGACCATTAGACAGTTGTGTTTCCATGGCAGCAATTACCTGCTGGAAGACACAGAAAACAAGAACTATCACATTTCACCATCTATTAGGAGAGTCCAGACAAGAATCTAGAAGACCTGTCACTATGCAGAAGTGGTATTGCCATATACTGCCTCTATATGCAGAAACCCCACCAATACAGAAAGATTTAAACTGTTAGTCAAGGCAATACTTTAAAAAAAAAATTACAGGTAAATAAAGTTGTCACTAAAATCTTAAACAAAATCTATCAATGAAGTCAACACTCAAAGCTTTGTTTCCATTTTCCCCTATTCCCTCCATTTAGGGGCATCACGGCCTTTCTGGTAGAGAAGTTATCAAGCAGAATTGCCTTGTTGCAAGGCTAATCAGTTCTATTAACTTACAACTGATAACTAAAATGATACGAAATGTAGCTTTTAAAGTGATAGTATTTGGTTATTTTCAAGATGAGGTGGGTCTTAACTGTATCCTGAGCCTACTTCTCATAAGCAATAGCAGAAAGCAAGATTAGTAATTTAAAGAGACACTTAGAGATGTATCAATGTACTGGATGGAAAACAAACTCTTCCTTGACAACCTCTAGATCAACCTTCTGTCACCACAGGTTGGAAATACATTTCTAAAAGCTTTTACTGGATTAAACTGACAATACCCGGTTGTTGCTTCTTCCCTTCCCTGCACCCTAAAGCCAGTTAAATTTGATACTTTAACTTGATTTATTTTTAGATATCAGAACAACAAGGGAGTGATCACCACTCCAGCAACTACTGTGTTTCCCCTCAAAGTAACTGACTGTATGACTGGCAGATACAGCAGCAATCATTTGGAGAAGTGTCAGCACTTGTCCACAAGCAATCACATGTACAAAAGGCTCTCTGCCATCTCAGTCAGTCACTTAATGGTAACAACTGGTAAATACAGTGGATTTTTAATGGCAGCTTAATACCGAACACTCGCACAGCCTACCCTGTTTGAGACCAACTACATAGACCAACGTCCAACAGAAAATTGTATGAATTAATTCCCCAGTAATAAACATTTCAACACATAAGCAAGACTCATCATGAAGTTTCGCTAAATATCCAACAATCCCTGAAATCCAACCTCATACTTAAAATTTCTAGGAGTTCTCACACAAAAAAGCCTATCGTAAAATCACAGTTTAATGTCAGGATCTCTGGAGGTTATTGGTCCTAACTGTCCTGTTCAAAGCAGCATATGCAATCAGTGCATACCCAAACAGCTGATTAGGTCAACTGTACTTAGGGAGCGCAAATTTGAATTTCCTAAAAACATGGGACGGGGGCAAGCTGAGTGTCTTATACTACAGTTCAGACATTCCTGGGAACACATTTTTACGTTCTGCATACAGAAGTATTTTCCAAAAGATTACTTCAGTACAATGCAAAAAAAGGAAGATACATCTATTAAGAACATTTAATATAAAAATGTGATCTAGTTTTCCTGAGGAGCTACAACTAGAACAACATTTTTTTCCCTTGTGACAAACTCCAAGGGGTAGCTTGCTCCTGGCACTGTGATGAAACAAGACTGCTGAAGAGAGGAGAAAGCAGACGATCCAAATTGAGACAAATTACTTTTCAAAACATCAATGTATCTGGCAGAGCTAGTAGCCACAAATGCTGCGCTCTGACTGAGGCTCACTAGGATTGCTTTTTTCCTCCTTTTTTTCCTCAAATTTAAAGTGTTCATTGATCAAAATTAGTAGGATTTAGCAAGGACAGCAAACAATCCTCACTTAATTGCACATTTATTTTGATGTTCAGGTGGCAAGAACGAGATCCTAAGCCAACATTCGAGTGAACAGATGCAGTAGCCTGTGTGTGCTGAAATTACAGCATTTCTCAGCTATAGAACCATCTGCTCTGAACAAAGTGATATTAATATGTTTTACAAATAATGCATATTTCATTGATAGGTTGAATATAACTGTTCATAAAACACAAAGCAGTTCTTCAGCAGTTACTAAGTATTTTTGCACCCAGAAAAATAGATTAAGAGATAAATTTACAGTTTTCAAACAATTTCTTAAAATAAGACTTGTCAACATACTTTAAAAATAGTAATCATAAATACACAGTACACAGGTTTTTAAAGTTACTGCAATTTAGTATTCAGACCATACCAAAACCATTTTAGCACAATACTACTCTTCAATTATCCACCAGATATTTTGAATTAGTGCTAAATTCTAATTGACATTAAAAGAAAGGCAAGCCACTGCAGTGTAATTTCTACAGAAGATCACCATATTATAGAAAAAGTTGTCATGGTATGCCAGTGTGATCTAGGCTCTCGCAGAATAGGGACACAACCTATAGCCTATAATGAAACACAGGAGAGTGTTAATATTCCAAATGAGAAATTAACGAGTTTGGTATGGCCTCAGCACTATTAACATGTAAAAAAGTAGCCTACAGAATTTAAGAAAAATCCCACAGACCCCAGTCCAAGGCTCTGCTGCCCACGAACCACTTCTAAGCAGAGAAGCCACATCACACAGTCTGACTGCCATGTTAGTTTGGAGTTGCCGTCTGCAATATGGACACAAAAAGTACCGTATGTTAGATTAGCAAGATAATGCAACAAATCAGTTTGTACAAATTTACAGTAATTGCATTTATATTCCCAGCACGTCCATGCAGTGTGGCTTAATTGGATTTGAGGCAATTCCAATCTAAACTTTCCAAATTCAGTTTTAAAGTTATTTTTCTTACATGAAATAAGATGCTTATTTTTAAGAAGATTTAAAAGATAATGCAGTCTAATTGCCCCTGCATCTACCCTGGAAACTACCTCCAGACCCAGATCATGCCTAGAAGGAACTATACCACAAAATAAATCTTTTAAGTCTTCCAGACTGGAAGAAGAGAAAAGAAAAAACGCAGTGAGTGGATTTTCCATTAGCAAGTAAGATAACCATGCACCATTGAATAAGAGCTCCCCTTACATACCTTTCCCAGCCCACAAAAAACATACACAAGACAACAAACTACTTTGCTAGAATCCAGTCTGTTCTTAAAATCCTAGGTTTTAAAAATTAAGTAAATAAAACCTTGCACAGATGGTATTCAGTAAGTTTCTTCGCAATACCTGTTTAAGGGTATCACTGGACATATGAGTGGCAGTAGAGTTAAGGATTTCTTAAGTGGAATAACTGGAGAAAAATATGCAAGAGTTCTTCATAAGGGTATTTCTGTCCTGAAGCACATTGTTGTTTGTTTTTAAACAAAGAATCATTGCAAATCCAGTTGGATTTGAATTGAACAGTGCCAGGAGGATACCACAAAGCTAACGGGCCATTCGCAGATGATTACAAGTAGTCCGGATGTTAAATATAACCACAACACTGGCATAAATAGGAAGACTCCTGGCTGTTGCCACAGCTTGAAACTGGTGTAAACACAAGAGATTCTTCTTGCCCTGGCTCAGCAGATGAGGTAAGTCTAAACTTGATAAAAAAAACAAGGCTTTTTGGAAGGCTGCTGCATCCAGGGCTTATAAACACATACTTCAAAATAACTTTTCCTGTTTCAAAACAGTGTAAATTAGTTTTCATTTCAGTTTGCTACCAAAGTCCATATGGTTAGCTGACTTCACGTCTGGTCTTTATTTCTAACTTAGGTTGACAAAAACCTTTAATCATCTATTTTTTACGCAAAATACTGAGGCTTTGGTATCAGCTGCAAGCTTGCAAGCCATTTTCTCTGTTCTCAACCCAAAAACAATGCTAATAACCGCACTTCTGAAGCTTTCTGTTGTATACAGGCAAGTACGTTTGATGAACTGCTTGTTATATAAAGAAAAACTCAGACAAACTTTATTAAGGAGACTGCATTAAAGTAGCAGTCTACAAAATTCTCTGTCCTACAGAGACTGTAGTGATGTGCATATGATGATATATTTGGATCTCCATGGCTCTCAGCAAAGCAGCATGACCTGATGTCCTGATTTCAGCTGGGACAGTTAGGGTTTTTTTTAGTAGGTAGAAAAGCACTGTGCATTGGATTTAATATGGAATTTGTTATGAGAAGAATATTGATAGCACACTGATCTTTATAGTTGGTTCTGAGACATCATGGACTTTTCAGCTTCGTATGTTTTACCAGTGTGCAGGAACACGACAAGTTGGGAGGGAGCATGGCCAGAACAAAGGACCCACAACTTGATAGTAATATATACAAATAAGTGATGCACAGCGTAATTGCTCACCAGCCTGTGACTAACTCCCAGCCCAGCCCAGCACATGATCCTGAAACAGGTAAGCCCCAAAACTACAATTCTGGAAAAGCAAGAGGCCCGAAAAGAGTGCAAAAGACAGAACTCAGAGAGGGAGAGAGAAACCAAATTTCCTAGCCAACCGTCATCTATATATATATACCAGACAAGACATTGCGTGATATAGAATATTCTACTGGCCAATCTGGCCCTCAATCCTACATCTAAGTTCAAATCATAAGCTAGGAGTTGCAGGTCCTCTGTTCCAGCTGCTTGCTCCCCCCAGTCTGTTCTGCTCCTGTTATCAACATTCTTATAGCAAACCTCAGACTAAATCCAATACACAGCACTATTCTAGCTACTAAAAAAAAAAAATTCAAGCTAACTCTATCCTAGACAAAACTAGGACACTTGATAGATTATTTGCTTCCTATGAGCCATGGGCTGCAGACAGAAAACTCCAGTAGGACAGCTTATTTGTGTGCACAGACTTCAGGGTACTCAGTACGCAGACTTCACTGTGCCCTTGAGCATCACAGAACTTTGCAAAAATGCAAAGAACACCTCTCATAGTAAGTACTTCCAGTTTGCGTAACTCATCTATCTTCACTGAAGTGTTCCACAAGGCACTCGCATCAAAGTATAACAAGCCAGTTCTCTATCGCACCATTATGTCTCAAAACCAAGTTTTGCTCTATCAATTCTTTTACCTTCTTTTTTTTTTACTTTTAAAGCTGTACAGAATGCTCTTTTACATCTGGCTCGAAAAACTAGAGTTCTTACTCTTAGTTACACTTCTGCCTGACCTGAAAAAACAAAAGGGACACAGCTAATTACAAAGAAAAGTGTAATTTTTTTAAAAATCTGCTTCCAGTCTGAACACTGTACTTTAAGATTAAAATAGCACATTAACAGAGAATTCGACCTGTGATTAGTCACCAAGTTTTAAAATACTGAACTACTGAAGAATCACCAGCACTATTAAAAAAGCTAAAACAGTTTTTGACTATTAGCCTCAGAGATAATATTACGCTTCAAATTATTAAAATAGCTCAGCAATTACTGCATTCAAAACCTAGAAAACCAGTAAGTTCAGGAAACAGGGCTCTATGTCCATTAAAGAAATGTAAGTTTGTCTTAAAATGCATTTGCATTAAGATGAGAACAATTAAGTGATGTCAGAAAAGGAAACCTGCTCTTTCTCCACAGTCCTGAAAGGAAGTAGAACTGAAGACAAAGTTGTGCAGTTCAGCACCTAAGTGGTTCCCTTTATTAACGTACAGTGCACGGGAGCCATCTACCTTTCAAAAAACTTACTTTTAATTCCTCAAGTACAGTAAAGGTTTTTAAATCCAAACACTTTTAAACACTGTTTGTGGCATTAACTGAATCCTGGTTTTTAATTAGCTTCAGTTCCAGTCATGAGTATGGTCTGCCTAGCAGAAAAGCAACTAGGTTGTCTTTTTTTTTTTTTTCAAAGACCAAAGACATCTGGAGTTAAAAAGCCATATGGTTTATGCAATTAGTTCTGGTTGCCATAGAACAGTTCCAATTCTATCAACAGTAGATCCTTCTATGAGAGCTTTAGAAAATAAAGCAGAGCAAGCAAAATGAAAACCAACAAAACAGTAATCACAGTGGTCTCGTAATTTTCCCTGCAAAACAGGTATTTTGGTATGCAACATACTCAACTGCTTACATTCAGGTAAAAAGGGAAGCTGAGGTTGGATCCTGGCATTGTTGACAGAACCAAGGGTGAGGTGACAAAACAGAGAAGCCTTCAACCACTGTTACCACCTCAGGTGCGTGTTCTAGGGAGAAGCCTTTAGTGTGTCATACTAGTGGCCAAAGCCTTTCTACCACTTATTTTTATTCATACCTGTGCATCCTTGTCATTGAGAAAAAAGTATTTCAGATAGAAATAAATTCTGTGTATAAAACCTATTTATAGACACCACACCAAAATCACCACACAGATGCCTGTCGTGATTAAGCTATATACTTCTAAATAGTAGTATTACATAAAGGATTACATAAAGGTGATTACAAAAGAATCAGCATCCTGAATCTAAGTGGCCAGACATCAGATATTAAGCACATCTGCCTCCTCCAACAGGTTACCACTGTTCAGAGACAACTGAAGCTGCACCATGAGGTGCTTCCAGCCTCAAAGGTCACAGCTGATGCAATGCTCTTGATAAAATCCAAAGAGATTGTAAACATGCTCCTGAAGACCCTCCTGAAGAGTTACACACCAGAAGACTTTCAGAACATGCTTTACAATTCAGTATTTGCCCTTTTTTTCCCCTCTTAGATACAGTGTAAAGGAAGCACACAACAGCTATCAGATGTTCCTATTTGGACAAGCAGATGTTATAGATTGTTTTCACAATATTATACAGCAGAACAAGTAGAACCCCTGGCTGAGTACAATGTCCTTTACATCTTCCAGATATAAAAGTCTAAACCAGAACTTTAGTCTGAGTTTGTAATAAAGTTATTATCTTTTTTTAAATTTCAGTACCCAGTGTGTTTTACAGAGGATTTATACCACCTACTTTGATTCACAATAATAATGACAGTAATTTAGCTAGGATAAGCTGTCTGTTGTCTGTGAGGTGTTGCTAAACACCTCAAAGAAAAAAGTTATTATTATTGAGGGCTCAGTGAAAGGCAATAGCCCTGACATAACCCAGATGCTGAATTTTGCTTTATAAAAAACAGAACTCAGCAAGAAACTTTAAGATAAAAAAAAAATTAAGTGCATAGTTATTTGTACTTTGAATCACTGCAATTCCTCATGCTTCCTCTTTGTTGATTTTTAATCTTTACTGCAGTGTTAATTTGAAGGGTTCAGAGTTTTTTTCTTCAAATAGTTAAATATCTTATGAGCATGAAAGCACAGCATTAATCATGCATACTCAAAAAAGCTGTACAATAAGAGATAGTGGAGGCTGTTCAATCCAGCACATGGAAAAACTACAACATAGGCTGCTAGAGCACCCCAAACTTCTTTATGGGTAAAGGCACATACAGGCCAGAGAATATATCTTCAGTCAACAACCTTGCTTGTCAGAACAAAACACTACTCACTCTTTTTGAGTTTCCTTGTAGGAAAGATAGCTGTCAGGGAAAGCTTGGTTATGGTTACTCTGATGTCCACATGTTAACAGCACATATTGTGCTTGCTAAGTCTGCACAAACAGGCTAAACAATGCTAATTTCGTAGTCTATGTTTTCACTGTTATTTTAAAATGGCATAAACCAGCATTTCTCCATTAACAGCCCTCCCCACTTTCATGTCAATTC